CATCCTCAGGCCTGCTCAGTAGGGCATGTGAACTAAGGCTCTTCAAAGAGGGAGCGGCTACTTGCAGAATAACTGGAAGAATGTGGAGCCTGAGGAAAAGCTGAAGACATGCCCATCTGTTCAAGTATGGCTTTTATAAATTTGCAAGCAAGATGAGTTGTTTTGATGCTCTGTGAAATCAAAGACATGGCACACCCAGGAAAAGCCCTATCAAGGCTATTGGCGATAAATATTAACATATGAAATGACCAGCAACAGCAGATCAGTTTAAGTAGAAGGAATAAAAGAACAGGCAGAACAAGAATTCACATTATGAATCAAAGTAAGGAAGAGGTCTAAACTGTTGAAAAATATACTTGTTCTGAAAAAATCCTGCAGCCACAGAGGTCATAAGTTGCTTACCCTCTCTATTTTTAAGTGCTGAAGTGCAATAATTTTAGTATAGTGGTTAGATTTCTCAGGGCGGCAGATAGAACACATTTCAATTTCAAGTAAGTTCAAGTTTAGAGCAGTGCTAGAGCTCATCTGTGGCAGAACAACTCTCCAAAGAACCCCAAAACCAACAAAAAAAACCCAATCAAAACCCCACCTTACCTAGACAGGGTTTTCATAATGACACTTAAGTTTGATTTGAAAAAAAAGTAGTAAGACAGGCTATATTTCTGACTGCCTAAACTGAAGTTTAAATACTGGTTTGTCCTAAGCAGGTAAACATACCAGGGAAAATCTGAAGGAGAAACACTGCAGTAAGTTCTAAAGGTACCTAATATGTTACCACTCTTCATGGGAATCAACAACTAAAACGCTGTTTTAGTTTAGACTGCTTCCACCTGGAATGACAGTTTAGTTGATACAGAGATAAAGGGTCACTCATTAATAGCAAAAAGGACAGAAGTCAAAGGTCTGGCATTTTTTTCTTTCATCTGTTAAATGACAGAATTACAGCCATTCACTCCAGCTTTCTCAACATACTCTGTTGTTTTCTACCACTTTAGCAAGCATCATCCTGTTATACAACACACACCCAGAGATGCTTTGGGATGTCTTCTCCCAATGTTAAGCAGTTTTAGATCATACTAAACAACAACTCTCAAAAGTTTAAATAAATATCTAGTAATGACTACAGCATATGGGGTAGATAGAGAATAATTAAATTAGTCTTGAAGTTTAACATCCATATTAGGCAACCTTTGTGAAGTCGCTTTCTGTTGCGATGAACTCCTGTCTAATGTTATGGGAATTGTAAGTGGACTGGTAAGTTATACTTTCAAGAGATCACAGATATGATCCTTACTGCAGAAGGGATGGCAGACAATGAAAGCTACCTCAGACTTCACGTAGTGATTAAAGTTACCCAGCAACTCACCGCCATTACTCTGGATCTTTAACCCTAACTGTGTTACAGACAGAAATATTAAACATCTCGGATGTGTGGAGAGGGTTCAGCCTCTCCACTGAGAAGTAACGCCCACTTCTTTTTGTTGGTTATGGATTTCTAGATGTTTGACATCTTAGCGTGGCATATCTCAACCACTGAAAACCTACTTGTGCCTCCTTAACTCCTCTATACCATGTTTTCATAATCTCTTCAATCTCTGCATTCTGCAATAGGTGCTTAACATTGTATTCCACCTCTACTTCAATTATTTTCTTCTGAAAGCAGAACACATTCTCCATTTCTTTATTCTCACCAGAGCCCTCTGCCGAGAAACATTATAGCTTTTTTGGGGGTGAAAACCACCATGTCAGCCAAAACACAGAAGTGTGAATAAATTACTCAGAGGGGTTCAAATTCTTAAAGATCTGATAAAACCAGAATTATTCTGAAGAAGCTGAGGGCAGAGTTTGGCATGGCTCTTCAAACCCTTCCACTTGACAAGGCATAACACCAATAACAACCAGGCAGTAATACGTATGTAAATCTGCACTGTAAACTAAAACTGGTAACTTTACTTCCACACAAATTACACTTTATCAGTAAAAATATTGTATGAAGAAATGTCAAACAGCTTCCATCTCTCGCTGGAGTTGTTACTTACCTGTACTGCACGATTACAGAAGAGGAATCAGAGTGATGAGGAAATTATACTGTTTCACTTACCATATATGACTACCTGAAAGCAGAAAAAGCACGAGCCTAGAATACCACTTCTGTGAGCACTCTGAAGTGCTAGACTTTTATTTTGAAGGCTGTGCTTCGCATACTCTGCCAACTGACTCTAAAGATGCAAAGAGGGAGGATTCTCTACTTTATTATATCCAGTCAGTATTTGTTTCAAGAATCCATCGGAGTTTGGGTGCTGATTAATTAAATTTCTTAACTTTCTGAAATTAAGTCCAAATCTGTGTACCATCTACTGCATGGTACAAAATGCTGCTATCAAAACCAAATGGATCTCATGAGGTCTGCAGTACATTAAAGTGGTATTCCACCAGTTTCTCGCATAGTAGCTTAAAAGAAAAACTGGAACCATTCCAAACACTTCTACAATTTCAACATAATAATAAAAAAAAGAAACCCCTCTGGTTCTCCTGAGACCTTTTGAGCTACTTAATACAGTACATGGATGCTAAAATTGTGCCTGCATCCAAGTCACAGAAACACTGTATACCTAAAAACAATGCACCCCCAACTTTCTCAGTGCACTACTTGTATGTACTTTGGGGTTGAGGGAAAAGAGAGGAAAGAGGGAGAGTCCTACATCTGGCTTACATCAAACTATCAGATATTCAGTCAGTACTTACACATCCATGTGGTGGCCAGCACTCTGCAACCCATCCCCCATCTCCTTTTCTATTGCACTCCACTCACTGTAGGAAAAACAAACGAGAAACAACATCACACATGAAGGGTAAGGGAAGTTAATAAGCTGCATCCTGTATATAGTTTCTTTCCAGGTGACACCTGAATGGAAACTGCCTCAAAGTTAGACTTGGCCAAACTGTTTTCTTCCTCCAAGCAGCAATGCTGACAATGTGGCAAGGCTACTTATGGCACTCTGTTAAACAACTGTCTCTGCCACCTAAACTCATCCTCACAAATATACTTCGTTTGGGATTGGTTTTGAGCAGAAAGAGTCTTGGTTTAAATAGTTAAAACGCAATTAAAATAAAAAGATATTAGCACTTAAAATAAAGGGGGGGGGAGAATTGAAAAAAGGGAACTTTCTAAAACAGAATTTGGTCTAACATGCTCATCAAGAAGAAACTAAGCTTTCCAGACTTGCAACAGATCAAATAGAAGCCTCTCATTCCAAAAACCAGAAGGTGGGATTTGACACTTGCAAGCATTTTACTGCTCCTGAAGATGTATGCATTTGCTGTATGTTGTTTTCTGTTTTCATAGTAGACTGCTGTTTAGTTCTATTCATTAAAAAAATATCAACTTACAACCATCTCATTACTGCCACTACCTATTCACATTAGGCAGATCATTTAGATAAAGAAGGAAACAGAGCTACAATAAAGATAGCAAGAGACTTGTTCTGGACACCCAAGTATGTACACTGCAATTTTAATTGTGTTCTCAGCTTTGTGAAACCTTATGAGATTTCTTAGTTACAAGAATTACATCCACAACTCTTTTTACAAGAAAAAAAAGGAGGGGGTCCCCTTATATTTCACATAATTTATATCTAATGCATCTATTCTGTCCTTCACTTTTTCATAAACATTCCACTCTGCTGATGTTGACATTTGTTTGTCTTTGGGTTATTACAGAACTACACCTAATTTCACTTTAAAACCCCCAATGAGAAAGACATCTGCAATCCATTAACCCAGAGAATTAAATTTAGCACTTGAACAGTGTGTAGAAGCAGGAGGTTTCCCTTAACCAGAAGTTTAGATTCTTTAATTCTCCAGTGAGATGGAAAACTTGAGCGTGCATTTCACTCATATAAATCAAAAAACAACTGGCAAATTCACTTTAAAAAGGTACTAAAATCGGACAGATAGAGTTGTTGTTTTTTAACCCTTAAAAGGACCTAAAAAGCTTTTCAGAGACAACTGCATGAAAATTGGTAGTAAGTTCTTTCTGAAGAAACAGAATGCCAACACAACAGAAGTCCCAAAGGTCTGAAACACAAAACAAAAAGCTAAAGTCTTCCACTTGAGACTAAGCTCAGCAGATCCAGAGATTGCTATATCCAACACAGAAATCTCATTGGAACTGCAACATGGAAGTTTTTCAAGGCAGGCATATGAATGTTTCAAAAATACTTTTCAAGAGCATAACAACATAACAAACAAATTCCCTACTCTCTCTATATATAGCCATCTCTCTTTCTATGTACATATTTTTAAAAAATGGATGAACTCTTACCTGAATACTCTTCCATAGTTGCCATGGACTTTATAGACACCATATAGCCGGTCTGCTACCCTCTAAAACATTATTTAGAGTCAATTTTTGGTCATCAACATTAAGTGCAATTGCTTTGTGAAAACCCATGTACAAACTTCAAGATAAAGCCTTAATGTTTTTATACAGGTAAACAAGATTAGACCTAAATCTCATCTAAGGCACTACTGAAGGAAAAATCAACAGCCTTAAGTCTTTGAAGACTGAAGTCACAGTCAAGGCTATACTGAAAGTAACATTTCAAGTATTTCTTTGGAAGCGTCCATGTATAGGATATGCCTATGGAGACCACAAATAACCAAGTTACCTTGTTTTTGATAACCAGATGTAAGGCATAGCCTCCTTTACCTGCATAATGCCGAATTTATATACACACTTGCTCATTTAACATAAAGATGGCAAGACAAAAGTCCATCCCGCCACCAAGACTGTAGGGAACAGTAAAATTCTAACAAGTGACTTGATTTTTCCATCCAGCTCAGTGAAACACAGGAAAGGAAATGAGCTATCCATTGCAGAACTTATTGCTCAAGCTAGATATGTCATTTCAGCTATCTGGAGAGTCAGTACCTGCTGTAGCCAGAACTACAATGCTGGCAACAACCTCAGAAAAGACCTCATGTACACACTGAAGTGTGACTTGTAACACAGATAACGCCCTTGTAATTGTGATGTACCAATGAATGAGACTGAAGTTTGGTAAGTTACCGTTATTGGTCCGTCAAAGCAGTAAAAAGGAAACATAAGCAAACTGCCCAACAGATCTCATGCGCATGCAGCCCTGAGAAAAAGGCACTGTCAGTAGAACACCAGTGATTAATCCTCTCAAGAACCTCAGCTCAACAGGGCAATCAATTACTGTCCTCTCTGCAGCAGTTTCCATCAAAAATTAAATCCCCATTGAATATACTAAAAAGCAGTCTCATTATTGGAATTGTAATTTCCTATTTCCTTTTTGTGACTTTTAAAAAAAAAATCTTCCATTCTCAATCCATAGAGTATCTTGATGCATGACATAATTGTTCTCATCATTAGAAAGAACACTACTCATTACAAATCGAAGAACAAGCCAGAAAAAGAAAAAGTGTGCTGGGAAGCAGACAAGATTCATACTACAAGCTCTGGAAAACAAAGAATTATACGTCTGACCAGCAAACGGTGTTTTGGGGCCCTTCCCAGCTCAGATATCCAGCAAAAGCAACTTGTCTACTGAGTAGAGAGAAGCAGACATCTCGATCCTATTTAAAACACCTCCCTCTGATATGTGACCATCAGGGGAGAGGGCAGATTAGCAACATGCATGTGTTTGCTCCTCAGATGACTGTCAAACTCAACCACCACATTTGGAACTCTTAAAGTCAGCATCCCTCTCCCCACCTTGCCACCTCCTGCCCCACGCTCCAGAGCCAAACTCTCTCAGGCAAAACTGCCCTTATTCTAGAGCACATATACCAGTTCTCTTGACTAAACAAGAAATACTGCCTTAGAAATAAATGATACTATTTGTCACGACACACATGGGAAATACTTACAGCTCTGACTCGCAGAAGGTGTGATATGACAGACTGCAGTTCATCGCTATAGTGTTTTAGCTCAGTAAATCTCCTGGGAGCAGGAAACAGATAGTACATCATTAGCCATCATGAAAGCAAGTTTTCACAGAATGCAAGATAGAGCCACAATGCTACAGCCAGCGAGGCGGAGCCTGGATTATGTTGAGGTGGAATTAGCTGAAGACTCCTACAGAAGTGACTGCAGGGTTTCATTTCTCTAAAGCAAACAACCCAACACTTGCATGACTGCCTTTTTTTTTTTTATGTAAATGATGATGGTTCAGAACAATTTAAGAGATAAATTTTTATGACGTATAAGTAGTTAACTGAAACTACTACATCATTGTGTTGGTTTTTTTTTTAAAAGTGTGATTTATAAAAGCAAGCATGAGTGAATAGGAAAGCTTCAAATAAGTACAAAGCCAAAATCTGCTGAAGTATACATACTTATTAAAAATGTGTTCACATTTCTGACCTGACAAAGATACTTCACTTTCAAGCTGCCATCTAGCCAGTTTTGAGTATAACCTTTCAGAAGTTCAAGGAAGCATTCACAATTATCACAGTCCCTCTAAGGCTAAGCTGTACAGTAACTGTAACTAGTTACATATGAAACCCTATTGAGACCTGTACCTGCACAGGAGTCACGCAAAGCTTGTCACGCAATCAAGTCACTACAGCTTAGCAAGGTACCAGTCAGGTAACTCATTGCAAGGGACCATGTGCACAGGGCTGGCCTGCCACCACTGAAGGAAAGAGGCATTTTATCAGCCAGCCCAGTTAAGCCTTGGCGGTAGTTTAAGTTGATCCATTTAGCTCATGCTAATCATGAAGTAGAGGCAGCTGCCACAGCTTTGCCAGTGACAGGGAACCGCTTAAGCCAGAGCAACAGCCACTTCTGTATATGTAAACCCTCCCTAGTACACACAAGTCTAACTCATGACCTACTTTGGTACACAAGAACATATTCTGTCCAGATGGGAAGCAAGAAACAGCTTTACCTAAATTACTAAACAATGATCTGAAACTAAAAGAAATAGACACAGAAGAACACAACTAGAATTAAGGAATGGGAGACTAAGATTAGCCTTCCACATTGATGCTCAAGCATAAAAAAAAAAAAAACAAACCAATCTTTACCCCTCCTCCCACCACACGCACACAGTCAGGCTTTGTATTTCAGAATAGTTTGTACCCAAGAGGTCTTACTGAAATGAGTCAGGTCACTTGTTTTGGGTGACCAAGTATGAAATTCCAGGGTTTTTCATTTAACACCTCTTCTTCCCCTGCCAGGAAGTCTTCCCCTAAAATATTCTCCTCCTTACATTCAGGAAGTAGGAGCTTTATTGCCATTTCTAATATTTTTGATCTCCAAGGAGCATCTTTTATAAGATTATGACACACACAGGGTTAAAGTACATAAAAAGATTTAAAAGCCAGCAGAGAAACTGTATGGGAAAAATAAACATAGTCATTGATCTGCACAGTGGGGTTTAGAGAGCAATCTTTTCAGTTTACACTTTATAAAATATGCACCAGGGCTGCATGTCAGACAGCTGCAGACACGTATAGCAAAGATATTTGAAATAATTGAACTAAAAACAAAAGATTAAAAAGCATGCCTTCAGCTCAGGAAGACTCCCATTTCCACTCCAGAAATCTATAATGAAAAGTTTTATTTATCCTGTTTTGTGGCAAGAAAGCTTTTAGGAATGCCGCACTC